CTGAGTCCAGTTATGCAAATGCCTAAGAAGTCCAGATGGATGCTGGCTACTTAGGGTGGTAAGACTATCTTAAGGTCTACGACCAGGAATTGGGGAATTTTGGTTAAAGAGAGGGAGGCAGATACTTTAANTGTTTTTTGCGACTCAGACTGGGCAGCTTGTCCAATGACAAGACGATCAGTTAGTGGTTATGCAGTCAAGTTTGGTGATTCCCTAATATCATGGAGGTCAAAGAAGCAGCACACTGTGTCAAGGAGCAGTGCAGAGGCAGAGTATCGTAGCATGGCATCAGCAGTCTCTGAAGTTGTATGGCTGCTTGGTTTGTTTTCAGAATTAGGAGTATCCATTGTGCAACCAATCTCACTGTTTTGTGACAGCAAAGCAGCGATGCAAATAGCTGCTAATCCTATCTTCCACGAACGGACTAAACACATTGAGATCGATTGCCATTTCATTCGAGAACACATCAAAAGAGGGCTGGTCACTACTCAATATGTGTCATCTAAGGATCAGCAAGCTGATCTTCTCACAAAAGGATTACCTTCAGGGCAACATCAGTTTTTACTAGGCAAGCTGGGTGTCTTGAACATTCTTCATCCACCCGCTTGAGGGGGAGTATTGGAAGTTACTTGTAATTAGACTTAGACTAGTTAGTTTGTTTATCCAATTAGTTAGGACCAAAGTGTACATATTAGAGCATAGAGTGGTCATAGTTATTATTTTGTATGGATGTATATAGTAGTTAGTTACTACAATGAAATATCAGTTGGAAAATTCCCAAATCAGTCTTCTTCTTCTTCACGGTGAAGCTCCCTTCAATGGCTAAAGTTTTGACAGAGTCTTTGCAAATGTAAAAGTTAAACTCCTTGGTTATCTAGTGGATAATATGATTTTTATTTATATTTGACCTATTTTTAAAAAATACATTATCCAAACAATTTTTAATGAATAATATGAATGAATAATTAATTTTTAATCTATTTTGCCACCGCTATATATAACTACTATCTTATTAGTCAATTTCAAAATCATTTAACCCCAATATTGTTGCATGTATGAGAGCACTAGTTTCAAAATTCTTATACCAACACAAGTATTATGTCATATTTTGATTACAAGTCTCGAAAGCTTTTTTATTTCTTAAGTTTTGTGTTATGCCAAATTCAGTCACATGAATTAGAATGGACGGATTACTGGTTTTATTTAATTTTTTCAAACTGCTTATCTCTTCAATTGCGTCATTTCTGAATCTAATTAAATTCGGCTAAATACAAACTACAGGAAAATGAAAAATTATGGCAGTCTTTCTTGTCTCAACAAAATTACAATCTCCAGAACCTCAAAATTGAAAATCCAAATAAAAGGAAGGATTTTGAGAAAAGAAAAAAAAAACAAATATATATTTTAGAAAAGAAAAAGGAAGAGAAGACTCTGTTTTGAGCTCAGTGGCTGCTCTCTCCATTACTATGTTGTAATTCTTCATCTTTTTGGTACCTAACTTCCATTGCAATTACTTGCTCTTTCAGCTTCTCATCATTTAATTCTTCACTCTCCTTCTCACATTTATTCCCAAACGAAGAACCTTTGCTTGACATATATATAGGCGTCGCCAAAAAAGTGGGGTTCAAATCACCCGCCATTATCACTACTATTTTCTCTTCAAAAACCGGCATGACTTTTAAGTTATCGTCCTCGCCGGCGCCGGCGCCGGCTTCAGGATCATCACCGGAGCGTTTCCTGTAAGAGCAAGCTAAGATTACAAGAGCAAAAGCTATTAACCCTAGCATGGCTGCTACGCCGGCAAAGAGATACGGCGCGGGAGAATGCCACGGCGATCTCTGAAAACCCGCCGGCGGTGAAAATGTAGTTTTTACGGTTAGTTCTGTTGTTGATGGAGTAGCAATAAAGGCACTCACAGTTCGCATTTTCTTTATGTTCTTTTCTTTTTAGAACTGATTTGCTTTTTCTGTTTTTGCTTAATTGGCTTGAGAAGTGTCGAGAAGGTATATGTCTATTTATAAGAGGTTTGCAAGAATAGAATAAATATTAATGGGGGATCAAACAATTTTTTTAAGAGAAAATATAAGGTTCTAGTACTCGATCGTCATATAGTATATATTTTTAGGAAAAGCGAATAAGCAATCTTTTACTGTAGAATATGATTACTTCATTTTCTATGAATGGAATAACTGTTTACGAAGAGAAAGAGCATTGCCCAGCAAAATATATTAGAGCTATAACATAAGATAGGAACAAAGACTTCTTGTGAGTCGCGGAGGCAGGAAGGAATTTTATTAAGGGGTTCAAAAAAGGAAAAAAAAATAAAAATTGTAGCTAGTGAAAATTAACCATTGACGGTTTTGACAAAGAGATTCAAAACATAATATAGAGATAAAAACTAAATTTTACCTTATACATACAAATAAAATATTTCTAACATAGCATTCTGCAACGTAATCCAACGGATAAATATTTATTGGAGCAAAGGGAACAATACTGTCACATCTCCACTTGCATGCTATTCTTTCTCTCGAATGTCAATATGTCACTGATTTGGCCATATAAAGGTAAAACATGGGAAAGCCTAGAGGGAACTCTGATCCTCTCTGTTTCCATCTCTACACTCAACTTTAATTTTAATCCTATTTCCCACAATGAATATGTCTCTACTCTCTATTCTCTATCATGATAATGAAAAATATGAAAATGTATCTTAGATTGGGCCCCAGTGTGGGCCTTAAATTGGGCTCAGGTGCAACAGTTAATGTTGGAGTTACATAGTCTATGCAGCAGTTTGTAGTGTATTTATTCGTATTGGGCTCAGCAGCCCACATTACTTAGCAACTCACACTCTGCCGGGTCGGCCCACATAATTAACATTAGCTCTTTACATTTTTACCCCTGTATTTAAATACAAACTCTAGAACCTTCAGAACTGAAGGAATTCATTTTTGTACAGAAGATAGAATAAAATTACAGCACTGTTCTTCTTTGTTCCTTCTTCTCTCAAGCCTAATGTACAATTTCTTCTTTGATTTCTGGTACAAATCGAAGCTTTACATGGTATCAGAGCCCGGAATATTGTAGATCTTCATCTCTCGAGCCGATCGATGGTACCCTCGTCAAGTTCCGTTCAGGTCTGATTTTCATCGGGGTTCACTCACATCGTCGATTTATTGGTTTCCGGCGAAGATTTGTTGGTTTCACAGTGATTTTCTTCCACTTTGTTAAGCTTTCACTCCGATTGTCAGTGTATTTTGTCAAGATTCTCCGGTTTCGAGAGAAGGTTCGAAACTAGGGTTTTCAAGGCCGTTCTTCTCCGATTGCGAAGAAGGCTGGTAAACACATTTTATTTTTATACTGCTTCTACTGGTTATTGAGCACTGTTGGTTGAAGTTAAACCCTGTGGTACATTTCTGTTGATTTTCGCGGTATATTTTTGCCGGTGTTGCTCCGTCTAGTTTCAGTCATGACAAACGGGTCTAGTAGTACTACTGCTGATTCTGAATTTATACCACGTGTTTCTAGTCCATTATTTCTTCATTCATCTGATATACCTGGGATGTCCTTAGTTGTTGTTCCTTTTTCTGGTTGTGGTTTTGGTGGGTGGAGAAGGAGCATTATTGTATCCTTGTCGGCTAGGAATAAAATTGCTTTCATTGATAGTAGTTTTCCTAAGCCGACTGCTGGTTCCCCTGAGTCTAAACAGTGGGATAGATGTAACAACATGGTTATATCCTGGCTAACCAGCTCACTCACACCTGAGATTGCTGAGAGTGTCCAATATTCTGACACTGCTGAAAGCATCTGGAAACAGTTGAACAATAGGTATGGAACTATTAATGAAACAAAGAAATTTGAAATTAAAAAAGAATTGGCTTCCACATGTCAGGGACCTCTTGATATAGCTTCTTATTTCAACAAGTTAAAGAAATTATGGAATGAATTGGGGGCTATGGGTTCAAATCATGCAAATACTTGCACTTGTGCTGCAAAGGAGAGTTTGTTGAGGGAAGATGAAGAAAATAAAGTTCATCAATTCTTAATGGGCCTGAATGAAACTTATATAACTGTTAGAAGCAACATCCTCATGATGAATCCACTCCCTTCGCTTGATAATGTGTATAACATTCTTCTGCAAGATGAAAAGCAGAGACAAATGACTCCCAATACTCATTTCACACCTGACCTAGCATCTTTCAATGCAAATGCAACTACACCTACTAGGTTTCCTCCTCATTTTCAGCCCCAAAGGCAGTACACTCAAAAGATTAATTTTGACTCACCTAATCAGAGGCTGGTTTCTAATCAGAACAAAGATTTATTCTGCAAGTACTGCAAAAAGAGTGGTCATACAATCGGTAAGTGTTATAAATTGATTGGATTTCCACAAGGTTTCAAGTTTACCAAGGGCAGAAGGTTTGGGACTGCTGCAAATGTTGAGTCTTCTAAAAACTCTAATGCTGCAAATGTTGGTTCCAATGGTCCAGTTTCTGGTATACCTGGTCTTACCATGGAGCATTATTCCCAACTCTTGAGTTTGATGCAATAATCCAGTCTTGTTGATTCCAGTCCTCCACCCAACTTTGAGGGGTCTGCTAATTTTGCTGGTAGTAATCTTTCTTTGCTTGAGCTTAATGGTGTTGCTGCTTATTCTGCTTGCATGTTAACTAGTGTAGCTAGAAGTGTTTGGATAGTAGATTCTGGAGCAACTGATCACATGACCTCTGCTAAAGAACTTCTCTTTAACATTACTCCACTTCCTGTTCCCTACTTAGTCAGCCTACCTAATGGATACAAAGTAAAAGTCACATGCACAGGGTCACTCACTCTGAATTCTTCATTTGTCCTGCACAAAGTGCTTTACATACCTACTTTCAAGTACAATCTCATCTCTGTGCATAGGTTGATTCAATAGTTTTATAGCATAGTCATATTTACTTCTTGTTCCTGCTTGATACAGGACCTTTCCAGGAAGAAGCTTCTGGTTCTTGGTAGACTCCACCAAGGGCTATACAAACTTCATCACCTTTCTAATTCACCCCCTTCTGATTCTGTTTTGAATAATGATGGTCAGAATGTATCTAGTTCATCCCTTTCTGATTCTGTTTTGAATATTAATATTGTGCAGAATGTATCTAGCTCATCTTTGAATACTTCTGTCTGTAGCCTAAATGAAAGTGTGGTTCCCTCTGTTGCATATGTTCATTCTGTACAACATGTGAATAATCTTGATATGATTTGGCATAATAGAATGGGACATCTTCCTTTTGCAAAATTGAAGTGTATACCTTCTGTTTCTTCTGATTTGTCTACTAAACAGCCTTTTATTTGTTCTATCTGTCCGTTGGCCAAACAAGCTAGATTGCCTTTTCCCGATAGTACATCCAACTCTACTTCTCTGTTTCAACTCATTCACATTGATACTGGGGGCCTTATCATACCCAAACTTATTCTGGTGCTAAATATTTTTTGACAATCGTAGATGACTTTAGTAGGGCCACTTGGACACATTTAATGAGTTCCAAGAGCAATGCATTTACTTTACTTAAAGCTTTTATTGCCATGGTCAAAACACAATTTAATCTTTCTGTTCAAACAATCAGAAGTGATAATGCCTTGGAGCTTGGTTCTTCAAACTTAGCCTGCCAATTTTTTCCTGATAATGGGATCCTGCACCAAACTACATGCCCTCATACACCACAAAAGAATGGGATTGTTTAAAGAAAACATAGACACTTGCTGGAAACATCAAGAGCTCTATTGTTCCAATCAACAAAATTTTGGGGGGATTGTGTTTTAACAACCACTTATCTTATAAATAGATTTCCTTCCTCTGTTTTATCTAACAAACCCCCATTTGAAATTCTTTATGGCAAAGCACCCTCTTATAGTCATTTAAAAACTTTAGGTTGCCTTTGTTATGCAAGTGTGCCCAAGTGTCATAGGGATAAATTTTAACCTAGGGCTGTCCCTTGTGTCTTTATTGGTTATCCTTTTGCAAAAAAGGCTACAAGATTTACAATCTTAAGAACAAGTCTATTTTTATCTCCAGAGATGTCCTCTTTCATGAGTCCATTTTCCCCCTCCATCTCAATTATTCTTCCTCTTCATCTCATTCTTCTCTTTTTCCTCCCGGTTTCCCTTCTTATCTTGATGACTCTACCTCTAATTTTTCCTCTGATCCTCCTCCTTCTCCTTCTTTTTTCTTCCCTTCCCTCTGTCACTTCTTCTCCTACTTCCAATTCACCGGCTCCTGCACCAGCTCCTATTTCACCTCTCCCTGCAGTCAGAAAGTCTACTAGAAGTCATCATCTCCCTTCTCATCTTCAAAACTATGTAGTTCAACTTCCCCCTTCTATTTCTTGCTCCTCTACTGCCTCCACTTCTGTTGCTCAACATGATGCAGTTGAGCCTCACTCTTATGCTCAGGCTGCTGCCAATCCAGCTTGGCAGGAAGCCATGAGGAAAGAATTTAAGGCATTGGAGGCTAATGGGACTTGGGATATTGTAGAACTACCCAAAGGTAAGAAGCCAATTGGTTGTAAATGGGTTTATAAAATCAAATATAAAGCTGATGGTAGTGTGAAAAGATACAAAGCTAGGCTAGTCGTACGGGGATATACACAAATATAGGGTATTGATTTTCATAAAACCTTTTCTCCTGTCGTCAAAATGTGTACTATTTGATGTCTTATAGCTTATGCCGTTAAGCAGAAATGGTCTTTGTTCCCAATTGGATGTCAATAATGCCTTTTTTACATGGTGATTTGGATGAAGAGGTGTACATGAAACTCCCCCAAGGGCTGTCTGTTGCTTCTGAATCTCCTGTTCATACTTTGGTGTGTAAATTGAATAAATCTTTGTATGGTTTACGTCAGGCTTCTCGCCAATGGTATGATAAATTGTCCCATGCCCTTTGCTCTAGAGGTTATAGCCATTCGTTAAATGATTACTCCTTGTTTATGAAGAAATCACCTCAGTCTACTGTGTTTCTCACTGTATATGTAGATGATATCATTCTAACGGGGGATGATATGCTTGAAATTGCTGCCTTGAAAAGTTTTCTAGATGACCAGTTTCGAATAAAGGATCTTGGGCTTCTCCATTATTTCTTGGGTATTCAGATTCATTATCTTTCTTCTGGTGTTCTTTTGCATCAGCAAAAGTTCATTTCTGATTTACTTGCTGATTTTGACTGTTCTGATGTCTCTTCTGTTGTATGTCCATTGGATTTGAATGCTAAGTTGCACTCTGATGTTGGTGACCCTTTGCCCAGACCTGACACATATCTCAACCTCATAGGGAAACTTAATTTTCTTACCCATACTCGCCCTGACATTTGCTTTGCTATCCAACACCTTAGTCAGTTTCTCCAAACACCTAGAGTCCCTCACATGGCTGCTGCTTTACATGTCTTACGCTACTTAAAGGGGACTTCTGATGTTGGTCTATTTCTTAATGATTCTGCTGATTGTTCTTTGGTTGGCTACTGTGATAGTGATTGAGCTGCTTGCCCTGATTCTCGCCGTTCTGTTAGTGGTTTTTGTGTGTTCCTGGGTGGTAGTCTTATTAGTTGGAAGTCCAAGAAACATCAGGTGGTCTCTTTATCCTCCGCTGAGGCTGAATATAGGGCCATGAGCAAAGTTGTTGCTGAGTTGTCTTGGCTGGTCCGTTTGTTCTCCGACTTGGGCTTACAAGTCTCCACTCCTCTCCCTGTTTTCTGTGACAATTAGGCTGCCATTCACATAGCCAAGAACCCTATTTTCCACGAGCGCACCAAGCATATAGAGGTTGACTGTCACTTTATCCGGACCAAGTTGACTGATGGTTTGATCTCTTTACATCATGTTTCTACTAATTCCCAGTTGGCTGACATTTTTACCAAGTGCTTGACAGGTGGAGTTCATCATTCTTTGGCTGCCAAGTTGGGTGTGTGCCCACCCTCCAACTTGAGGGGGGGAGGGGTGTTGGAGTTACATAGTCTATGCAGCAGTTTGTAGTGTATTTATTCGTATTGGGCTCAGCAGCCCACATTACTTAGCAACCCACACTCTGACGAGTCGGCCCACATAATTAGCATTAGCTCTTTACATTTTTACCCCTGTATATAAATACAAACTCTAGAACCTTCAGAACTGAAGGAATTCATTTTTGTACAGAAGATAGAATAAAATTACAGCACTGTTCTTCTTTGTTCCTTCTTCTCTCAAGCCTAATGTACAATTTCTTCTTTGATTTCTGGTACAAATCGAAGCTTTACAGTTAAATCCACATCTAAGCTACAGTGAAAACGCACTCTCATTTTCTCTTTTTCAATCATTAAGCAAACAAGTGAATAAACTATACGCTTGGTGGGTAAAGCAACAACAAAAATAAATATCAGATCGTATTTGTTGCATTAGGATTTGATTCTATTCTAATTCATACATATCCATAGGTTGCAATTTTTAAAAATTTATCACTCAAAGCACTATTACTATGAATCTCATGACGAAAAAAGTGGCAAACATTTTGCGTATGAGGGAGAATTAAAAAATCTCCATGCACGGTATTAATTAATTTTAAAAAAAGCAAAGAAATACCTTCAATTTAATATTAGGCCAATTCTACGTGAAATGAAATATAGATTTATTTGCGTGAGATGCCTTTTAATGCATTGGTGGAAGAATATTAGAATTGTATAAAGAGTAGATTATGGTTCGCCGTTATCTGTTTTTAATAAAGTTCTTTAAATAACAGTAATACATTTTTTGTTGTACAACGCATTAACCTTTTGCCTCGTTCTTTATTATTGGTTCCGCATGCCAAAAGGACAAAATAGGGCTATCCCATCATTAAAATTGTTGCAAGTGGAAACAATGGTTCAAGATAGTGTATTCGAGTATATAATGACTTTAAAATTATCTTAATGTTAGAACATGGAGTCGTATGCATTTTTGCACCCTCAATATAACTACCTTTGAATATATACTTTTTTATATCATGTTGTTAACTTTTCTTTTTTTTTTTTGCTTCAGAATTTGACAAATGACGTGTTTAAATTTTTTACAAAATTGTTTAAATTTCGAGCATTTACTCACAAGGCCTTCTCTTCCGCCTCTTTCCCATTTAACCTAAAAATTCTTCACGTATGAAGTTCTTCTTCACTAGATTATGTAGTGTTGGAAACTCAGTGACTCGACTAATATATACGAAAGAAGTGAAATTAACGAGATTTCACTTCAGGCTTCATCCGATTGGACCCATTGTCACTTGAACCATACTTGCAGCATTGGCATGGGCAAATGATTAAGGATATTGTACGAGTAGATGAAGATGGCCGTACATTGAGTGAAAGGACAGTTACTGTTTTAGATTTGGAAACTCACAACCATATCCAAATTTGTTACTCTACTTTTGTTGAATCTCATTTCATCATCTACCACCAGCTAGTGTTTGTTCACTTTCTAAAAGTATTGTATTATAATATTTAAAAGGAAAAATTCTTTTTGATCAATAAATAAAGTTATAATTAAAATGCCGAGTAAATATTATTTAGCAGTATTTTTGGTGGGGGTAGGAGCCAGTTGGTCATGAGTCTCCTAATTTCAACAAATCTATTAAGCAAGAATCTATTGAGCAGCCTTTATTCATTGTGTCAATGGACTACCCCTTTCATATGCCTTTATTCATTGTGCATAAAGATTTTAATTTTGTGTATTAGTTGTATAAATCATCACAGATTTAACAAGCTACTTCTACATGAACGACATATTGTGACGACTCACTTTTAAATTAGTTGAAATTAGCTGTACTATCTTAATATCCGTTTCGCTCTGTTTGGACTTATATCATTTTGCTACCAATAATATATTTATATAGTTGGATAACTTAGTGATTAGCTAAAATTAATACTGATTCTTTAAATTTCACATTTTTCTTTACACTGTCATTAACCTCCACCTAAACGTGAAACACCAGATCTAATGCAACTGTGCCCTATAACAATGGGGGAATGACACAGCTACCCACAAAAATAAAACTATTTATCCCTGTCTACCCATTTGTTTTTCTACCCATAAACTAATTACATTTCCTACTCATAGTAATTTTTGTAGGGAATTTTCTCTTTTTTCTCCAATTTTTTTATTTCTATGTCTCCTTTCTTTTTTTCCCTTTTTCTTTCTTTTCTCCGTTTCTTTTTTCTCATTTTTTTTCCTTTTCTAATTTCATTTAACTTCTTTTTCTTTTATATTCTTTTTCTCTTTATAATCCAATTTCATTTACTGTTTTCACTATTTTTTATTATACAATAAAAAAAAATAATTGATATAGTAAATAATTGTTCACCTTTTTTTTAAAATATAACTAGTATAATATACCTTTGTCTTTTTTCTCATTTATTAAATTCAATTATTAAACTGAAATAATACCAGTTGTCACTTGATCTAATTCACTGAATATCACACTGACTGCTGCTGAGCATCATAAATT